AATATTGAGAAGTATTTTGTCAGCACCTTGCAACTACTTACAGGTACAGTCCCTTTCCTGTCCCTTCCAGACTCGACCTGGAGCCAGGTGAGGGTCCTCTCGGAGAAAGCCAGCAGCGAGGCTGCCGGTGTGGCGCCCCCACGCTCGCAGGCGGCGGGCTGGCTGGGGCAGTGCGGACATTTGCTGTTGTGCGTCTCTGTGGTTACGCGTGATGTTTGTTCTCTCTAATCCCACAATGGTGATTATATGGTTTTCAGTGGGACAGCAGATGACAAAGGGAAAAATGGTATCACCCACCCACCTATTTCTTAGCTTCATTCCCTACTATCTAAGCCAGGCCCTGGCTGGTTTTTTGCCTCCATTTCTGGTGAGTTGACTGCTTTGAACAGCTTGTGTCAATTATTCAAGGATTTTTTTTTTTTGCTTCTGAATTTTTGGTTTTAGTCACTAGGCTGAGAGCAGCAGGCTAAGACCATCTCAGAACCACTTGGACCAGAAAAATGGGAGGGGGGCATGATTGCATTTCACCACAACTGTACATAGCAGGGTGCCAGCCCATTTAGTTCCAAATACTGAATGGTTTAAATCAGTAGGAAAAATCAGTGGCACTGAGTATCTTTGCATGATGGTGTGTAGTATTCTAACAAGGAATTCTTTAGTTCCTTAATTTCTATAAGAATTTATTTTTTTTAATTTTTATAAATACATCTTTTTAAAAACATTTTATTTATTTCTTTTTAGAGAGAGGGGAGGGGAAGGAAAAAGAGTAGGAGAGAAACATCAATGTGTAGTTGTCTCTCATGTGTCCCCTACTGGGAACCTGGCCTGCAACCCAGGCATGTACCCTGATTGGGAATTGAACCGGCAACCCTTTGCTTCACAGTCCTGTGCTCAATCCACTGAGCTACACCAGCCAGGGCTAATTTCTTTAAGAATTTATAACCGTGAGATTATAACTGTAACTCCATTTATTACTGTAAGACATTGAATAAATGGAGAGCCGGGAGGGAATGCTACATTTTCATTCTTCAAATATTTAATTGAAATGTTTCATGTAGCCCCAGTAAAAATTAAGACTATCCAAGTATAGATAACTGATAAACTTTTGAAAAACACTAATAATGGTGGGGATTTGTATTGCCAGAAATATTAAACTTCTCTTAAAGCCAGAAAAATTAAAACTGGGGCATTATGAAAGAATAGAAAAGTAGTATACCCTCCCGGCAGGGCTCTCTAGTTTTGTCTTAACTCCCGAGTGAGAAAGTGGATCTGGGCTTGGAAAACTGGACTTGGAAAACTGTGATTGTGGAATCAGAACGTGGTAGGTACAAGCTGTCCGAGGCTCTGTACCCCACCTCCGTCAGTCGCTGAGTATAGGTGTCCCGGCACAGGCGTGGTCTTGTTTCAGGGGACTCTGGACCCGAGGCACGCCCTGAACGCTGATTCACTCCAGTAGCTGGGGCAGCCAGAGTTTTCGTAAAGGGACACGAGTGACTCGTTTCTTCCCATTGCAACCTCCAAATTCACATCTGTGTGTATCTTTATCCTGCACACTTGTAGGGTATTGACTTTAACTATCATGGCTCCTGCTCTGGGGACGGACTTGACAGAGGCTGGCATCCGCTGGGCCTGTGTGGTGGGCAAAGATCAAAGTGCTCGGAAGCACCTCTCTAGAGGCTTTGGGGAAGTTCTTCTTCCCCAGCACCGGGCTGCTGTTCCTGAGTCGGGGGCTAGTGTCTCACACAGAGCTTGGGTTCGGGAGGTGTGACGGTGGAAATTATGGATGTGTTATGTGTATACGGTACTCACTACTGTTCCAGGTGCTTAATATATCCTTGTGCTTAAACTTAGAGGATTCTTGCTCATGTGGTTGAACCACTGTTGGCAGGGTCAGGTGAGGGATGGACAGGCTGTGGGAAGGGGGGAGATGCCTAAACTTATTTCTCGGGTCCTGGGGAAGCCAGCTGCCTCCCATCTCAGCCCTTTAGAACACGCATCATCGTCCTCTTTGGATCACTTGTGCCAGAGGGAGGCACCCCCTGCCCGTGTTTATGCACGTGCTGCTATTCCTGACTCATGCAACCTGGTGGTGGCCGTAGGGGCAGTTTGTGGAGCCCTCAGAGCCCCTTCATGGGCCTGGTCAGTAGTGTGAATACCATAGTCCTGGGAGAGGAACCTGCTGGATTCTTCTGGGGGAGTCTTCCTCACCGTAAAAAGGGCATGTAACAGGGACACCCCATTTCTACTTCTGAATATTACCATCTGCATGTGACACTTTAATTGGCAGTGGCCCTCTTGAGACCAGAAGGGGACCCAACCTAAGGGAGTCAAAGAGGAGGGTGGAATATTGTCCCTTGTGGCATTGTCAAACAACTGGACAAAACAGCCAAAGCCCTTGTCCTCACAAAGCTCATTTCTGGTGGGAATGGACAACAACAAACACGTGCATTACAGAAACACATAGTGTGGCAGGATGAACCAAAGCAGGGAAGGGGGACACAGGTGGCAAGGGCAGCAGTGGTGCACTCCTTGAGGGTGGCCAGGGAAGGCTTCTCTGAGAAGGTAACGTTCGCATAAAGATGCACAGAGACAATGAGTGCTCGGAAAAGCATTCCAAGCTGAGGGAACAGGAGGAGCAGAAGCTTTGAGTGTGTTTGGAGAGCATTCTGCGCTCAAAGAACTGCTAGGGGCCTCTGTGCCTAGAGCTGGGGGCCTCTGAGGGAGTCAGCAGGTGGACATGAGTTCACACAGACATCGCGTTGCTGCCCAAGACTCTGGCTCGGGCTGCAAGTGAGGTGCAACAGTTGGGGGTTTGTGTGGAGGGGAGGCACGAGATCTGACCTACCTTGAAAAAGAGCCCATAGTAGAGGCAGTGATGGTAAGAGAAAGATGGCAGTGTTAGCTGAACTAGAACATGATTCATAGTAATCCAGGTGAAGTTCAAACTTTATCCTGAAACACTTGCATGAGAAGCCGTTCTGCTTATTCTAATGTGAACACAAAGACAGAGCTGCTTTGAGGGTTCTTACTAAATAACATGCTTTCCAAAGGGTCTCTGGGTTTTTTCAGCAGTGTATCTATACCAGACTCCAATGTAAGTGTTCACCAAATCCTGTGAGATTTAAAAGAGTAAATTTGGCCCTGACTGGTGTAGTTCAGTGGATTGAGTGCGGGCCTGCGAACCAAAGGATTTCAGTTCGATGCCCTGTCAGGGCACAGGCCTGGGTTGCAGGCCAGTCCCTAGCAGGGGGTGCACGAGAGGCAACCATACATTGATGTTTCTCTTCCTTTCTCCTTCCCTTCCCCTCTAAAGATAAATAAATAAAAATCTTTTAAAAAAAGAATAAATTTGAATCAGGGCTTGTGAAGTGGCTTTTATTACTAGAGAGAAATTCTCCTAAATGTCAGGATATGGTTCAGTGGGGCAACATACCTTGCTTTTCCCAAAATAAAGAGATAAATTCGCCTTATTTTATTCTGGAATAAAATTTTACATTTAATAAAAGCTACCCCTCAGCCTCTTGATTTTTTTCCCCTTATGAATGTGTGGCCCTAACAAAGGCAGAGTCCTTCACTTCCCTGTGGTGAATTCTGCGAATCGTTTGTAGTAAGACAGGTGGGACCGGCTGCAGTGAAGTGGCAGCTATGTCTGTCTGGCTCTCCGTTACATGGACACAGACAACAGCTCACTTTCACTGGAGGAGGAAGTGTGCCTTTCACACGGAATAAGGTGTTTTCCGTGTCGGCTAGTGTCCTCGCTAGGTGATTCATTGGTTCCTACCTCGGGTCAATACCTTTCATTCAGTCTAACTAAACACCACGCCTCTCGTGAACCAGATCTTTACTGTTAAATACAAATCCTTTCTGACGAGGAGCGGAAACCTCCTTTGTGGATTAACACTGCAGACCCTGTGATGAGCCACCATTGACTGCGAATGGGGAAAACTTTATTTTTGGAAGCTGGATTTGCTAATTAATTCTTTTGAATTCTCATCAAGTTCCAAATGGGAGCATTCGTAGCCCACTGACCTTCACTGAGTGATGTGGGCGGGGTCAGGCGAAGAAAGGGGAGACGGACACGTATGGGTGGCCTCTTGAGCCTCACACCAGGTTGGGTGGTATCGCCTTCATTTTCACAAGGGGGTGCCGGACCTCATGGGGATGGAGATGTGACAGGCTCAAATGGGATGTGTGACAGGCTCAAAGAGGGCAATGTGACTTGCTCAAACTCATTTGGCAAATAAGTGTGGAAATGAAGTTGGTACCCATGTCTGGGTGGCCTCACAGTCCGTGCCACCTTCTCAAAGGCACTTACCAGCGAGGGCAGGCGTAGACCTTATTGCTGCCTCAGATGAGCTGTGTCTCAGGGTGTCATGCACCAACCTGCTGTTTCCAGGAGCTCTGTTTGGACTTGAACGGTCTTGCGCAAAGTAGAGCCCTGAAGTCTTTCCTGTGTCACTTTGTAGCTCTATTAGTTTTGTGTGGGTTTTTAAATGGGGTGACTATTAACTATTGATCAAGCTCCTAATTTCTGATACGATCATATTGATTTTGTTTTCATTTTAATAAGATGGACTTTTGCTTTCATATTTCACACTTCAAAGTATTTCACAACAGAAAGGCATATTCCTGAGATTATGAAGTATCTCAGGATTGTCATTAAAATCACAAAACAGTGATATATAAAGGGTGTATAATGTGACGCTATGAATCATGTTTTATCATTTGCCCCCAAGGATCTAAGAGGTGGTCCTTATTGATTTCTGGGAGGAGAACTGATTGGGGGCCAGCCTTGGGGCAACACCGGCGTGTTCACTGCGGAACTGTGGTGTTGCTCTGCATCCTGTCTCAGATGGCCTCATGGGTGCTCACAGCCGTCCTGTTCTAAACTTTATATCAAATTGGGGCTAAAAAGAGTTTGAAAGGACAATGCCATCAAATGCTTCATTGCCATCTATTAATTTTCTTCCTCTCTCTCCACGTGTGTTTTTTTTCCCCAGAAGAGAAATTCAAAGTGGAAACAAGGACCATTGCCGTTGACTTTACATCTGAAGATATTTATGATAAAATTAAAGCAAGCTTGGCGGGTCTTAATGTTGGTGTTTTAGGTGCGTATCTTTGCCACATTTATAGATTCTTCTTGTGTTATTGTTTGGCCTTTACTATGATCGTACGTTTTCTTTTCAGAGGTTTGGTGTTCCATTGGTAAAATGGCTAGTGAGACGAATATTGTCTTATTAATATAATTGATTACTAGTTGATATTCATCTACTATACTCGAATCTGTGTGGTTTTCATTGTATTTTAATGGCTATTCTGCTTTTGGTTGTTTTCCCTGCCTGCTTTATTTCCAGTCTCGCGTTCTCCTTATATGTTTATAGTTGTAGTATAATAACTCTTTAAGGTGGAGGATGCTGACCCATTTTACAGGTGAGAAATGAAGGCCCAGAAAAGCGGTTCTCAGCCTTTTGTTGCTTGTCACCCCGTCCTCCACAGGAGCCTTTTAAGACTTGTATTTTCCCTAATCTTTTTCCATGAAATTTTAATACCACAGATACACTGTATATGTCATTTAGGTATGTATATCTGTGCTTTGTGCATTGAAAGAATAAGCCCTCATACTCCCTACCCCCAAACCAATTTTTGTCCCTTTGGGGGAGACACCGTCCCTGCTGAAGGCATGGCTTAGAGAATTTAGGGACTCGCCTAAGGTCACATAAAGACTGAAAGGTACAACTGCTGTTCATCCCTCTGTTTCCTTTTTTTAATCTAAGTCTCCTACTCCCTTTTGATACACCTCAGCTACCTTGCTCTTAATCACCCAAAACCAGTGATTTTCTTAGATACGGAAGTATTGTACCTTGTTATGAAAAAGATTTCACCGGATTTTAAAGTAAGGAAAAGGACTTTGAAAAGTGATCCAACAGCCTTTGGGACACTTCTAGGAAGAAACAGGGTGTGTAGTTCAGAGAAACTTTCCTTCACTCAACCCCTTTGTCTGCCCCAATTGGTGTGAACCTGCCTATTGCCATTGTTTTCTTTATTGAGCTGTAAATGGAGGAAAAACAAAGAGGAAAGCTTTAAAATACATTTTCCAACATTTCTTTATTTTAAGATTGACCTCCTTTACTCATACTATAAAAGGACAATCTTGTATATCATTTCTTGAAAAGGCAATTTAAAAACTAGTTAAACACGTAGAGCCCTGCATAAGTACCCTGACCTGAGATTAACCCTGGCTTAGACAGGCCATCTTTTTTCAGCTCCTGCCTGGTCCGAGTCACAGGTCACCATGCCCCACCTAGCCACACCGTGACTCTCCGACTTACCGGAGAGCCAGCAGCAAAATATGAATGAAGACACAGGTCTGGTTTTTGCCGTGTTCTTTTAATACTTACAACATTGCCTGGGGTCTTTCACAGTTCCTCTTAGACCCTCACTTAGGTCTAGAATACCTGCAGCACCACTAATGTCTATAAATTCTTGACCCTTTAGAACTTCCAAATCAACAGCAGCTATAACATACGAGCCAGGATAGACTCTGCCGTGGTCCGTCCCGGCCCCTCCAAGCAGGCAGGCACAGAAGGGAGGCCGGCTTCAGCAGAGGCAGGAAGGAGGAGCCCTGATAACAGGAGACTTGCCTTCAGCTTGGGTTTGGAGAAGAAAACTTTCTTTCAGAAGTAGATTAGTTAAAAACAATTGTTTTTAGCTTTCCATATATTTTAGCTGCTTTTGACTGGGTCACTTTGAAACTCCAGGTGCTTAGGAAGGGTGCCACCGAAGATGGAAACTATTGGGCATCTGGTTGCCATAGGACTGCAGGATTCCTTCCCCACTCATTGTACAGAAAGTGTACAGCACGAGTTTAGGCACAATAGCTAGATCTGGAACAGGTGGGCGCACAGGGCACAGGGTTGCCAAGCATGTTGTCCCCACTCCTAGAAGGAATGCTAGGACTTGTGTCAGCATGCAAACAGTGATATCCGTTAGACACAGGGATTGATATTTTCCTAGGCCACACATTGCTAATGTGACCACTGTTTTTGTAGTCCTCCTCCTTAGTAAATTGCATCCTGGGAGTTGGCAGGTTATACCCCCCATTATTCATTCATTCATTAATGAAATGAAGATATAACAATGAGCAAAAAACACCTGATTTTATGCAGTGTGATGTTCAAATATGAAAGATAACATTTTAAAGTTATGCCATAATTAAACACTTCTGATTGAATACACATTGAGATACATATGTACACACAACTTCAATTTCTAGTTGGTTACAGATTAAAATAAAAATAATTCCAGGTAATACTGAATATTTACCATATTTTTTGGATCATAAGATGCACCTAGGTTTTAGAGGAGGAAAATAGGAAAAAAAAATTTTGAAGCACAAAATGTGGTAAAATATTTAATAACATAAATAACATGATATTTTACCAATGTCAATGTAAATAGAACTCAATAGCAGCATTAACAACCATTATTCCTCCCAAATTTGTGGGGGAAGGTGCGCCTTATAGTCTGAAAAATACGGTACATAATCCTTTAAAATCTATAGCAGCATTCTCACATACATTATCTTATTAACCGGCTATCTGTTTAGTCTTCTTCCTATTCTACTGCTCCTGTCTCCTTAATTATAAGTTTTGTATAATTATTATTAACAGTTGTTAGCAGATACCTTATTCTTATATTGCATTATAATTTTAGTTTGTCAAGATTTTTGAGGATATTATTAATTATGAGCTAATTTTATCGTATTGCTAAGTCGTAATTCAGTCTAACTTAGAGTTCTTTCTCTAGTGTGGGTGTAGTACTTGGACGGGGGGGTCTGATGTTTCTATTTTCTTTTTCCTCTGATTATTGGGTCCGTGGCCCCTTTACCTTCCTCATCCCTCCCCCAGCCACATCCAAGTCACACATACCCCCCACCCCGTGTGGTAAGAGGAAAATAATCATATTTCCCTACCTCTTCTGCTTAATGTCAGCCTCCCCCTTATATAAAATAATAAATGTATGGGTTGATTTCTGGTGAGATCTGGCAATCCATATTAAGTCACAGGAAGGCATCTGTTTTCTATCAAATATTAATGAAACCAGTAATAATAAAGAGAAAAATAAATCACCAGGGTGCATTCCATTTGTTTAAATAGCATTAACCACCAAAGTATAGTCAGTGATTAATAAAGAAAATTAATATTTTGTGAACTACCAAGGAAAATGCTAAAGCCCTTTGTCATGAGAGGAACATTAAGTTTTCAATAAGACAAGTGGAGAGAAAACAGCCATGAATTGTGTGAATTTCCACTGAAAGGGTCACCACAACTTGATCAGACTCTAAATGCCTGAGGTTGAGAAGTTGGATTCTTAAGTCTGTTATGTAAAATAAGTAAGCATCTGCTGTCTTCTCTCAGGCAAATGCCAAGAAGCACAGCATGGAGAAAGCTTAAAAATTTCAGCTCTTCAGACAAAATGACATCAGTATTGCTTCGAATAAGCAAACAGCTCCTTAGCAGACTGTGCCGACTATAAGGCGGACTTCATTCCTCGGGAGACTATCGCATGCGCTCCACGTTGGTTTGGAGGACTTTGCATCCCAGGAGGCGCAGTTGACCGAGGCCGAAGGAGCAGCCTCGGATTGAAGCAGGCACAGATAACACTTTTATCACATTCCCCCGCTGTGACTTTTTAACTTTTAAAAAGTGACACCCTTTGTTCTAGAATTAAAAATAGAAGGATCCTCCTGGAAACATATGGTAACTTAGTTTGTGATTCACTTAAAAAAAACCAGCCATATCTTTATTCAGACCTTTAACACATCCCGACCTAGAGTGAGACTCCGTGCCCAAGGCCGCCCAGGCCTTCCCTCGCTGGGTTGTCACGGTTTACAAGTGGCAGAAACAACAGTCAGCTGGTCCAGAGAGCGTGACTTGGGGTGCGGTGCTGGCTTAGTGTGTTCAGGCCTGTTCATCACTGTTAAAAAACAAAACTTAAGCAAGTAAAGTTGAAGCTCTAACTGGCCCTGTTCAGTGATTCAGGAATTGGGCGGCACGCCATCCAGCAACAAGAAGGGCACTCGCGAGGGTCGTACAAAAGGGCAGGTTTTTGCAGGAGCCAAGATGGGGTAACAAAACAAAAAGAATAACAAAAGAAAAGAAAGCATTGTATCTCGGTTTTTATTAAGTTTTTAAAGCTTCTTAACAAAAGACCCAAGAGTATTATTATCCGATTCTTGAGGAAAAGGCCTGGTTAGCTTCCAAGTGGCAAACTCCCAGGTAATGAATTGGGTGGGGACCCAGAGATGGCTTCCTTATGGTTCAGTCCTGAAGTGTCAAAGGGAGAAGAAGCAGGTGTCGGTGTCGGAGAGGGGGCCGCGGGGCTGCAGGGTTCGGGTTGATTTCCTAGGGCTCCCGGGAGGGAAGGACGGGAGCAAACCAGCAAGTCACGCAGCTTCCCAGGCTCCGTTGGTGAAGGAAGTTACAAGTACGTGTTGCTTCTTCTGCAGAAGGTTTAGCAGTGTATAAAGCTTCAGATTATCTTCTCGCCATTCTCAGGAACTTGGACTAATTAGAATTTTAGTTTTAAATTGCTTTCTTTTGAAATGTCAGTAGCTCTGAAAGAACCAGTGACATCTTCATTTATATCTTATTGGGATTAAGTACATTCAGTTTATTACCTGTCTGCTTGCTGGATCAGTTAGCCTGAGGAAGTGACTATTTTAGTTAGTGAACGACATGGAGAAATCATTTTGAAATAGAAGAACACAGGTTTACTATAGCGGTGGGTGTTAAGGGGAAGTGCTGGGGGGAGGCAGAATAGAAGGGCAAGAAAAAAAGACAGTTGAGAGAGCCCCAAAGCTAAACTTCATACTTTTGGCGTAATCTTCTCCACCCACCCACTTTCGTTTTCCTTCCAGTAGCCCAGGTATAAAATGGTTCAGACCCATGACAGGGCAGAGGCTGTTATTGGCCAAGTCACAGAGGAAAGGGTTGTAGAGGCATGCCAGGAAGATGGTTTCCTGAAACGGTACAGTATCTCTATTGTACCGAGATCTGATCTTTGTGCTTTCTAGGGGGTTAGGACACTTCTAAAACTTCCCTCCTGT